CATTTACAGACGACGGCAAGATGCTGTTTATACAAAAAAAACTAAATATAATCTGTCTGATATCAGGTTTAGAATATGAAAGAATTTTTTCATTTTAAAAATATCTTTTCGAACACGCACCTATTTCGGGGAACAATAACTACGGTAATTTGGGGTTAAGTGTGGCCACATTGGTCAATGTTTTCAAGGGACATTGTATCGCACAGAACATGGCGCGAAAGAAAGGGCTGGTTTATATGTTTACGATGGGACGACAAGCATTGCGGTTCTTTAAAAACGTACTGTAACGAGTAATGCATACAAGTCATGACTCTCATTTTCATTTCAGAATGTTATAAGTGAAGATCTGTGATAATGGGGCCTGATTGATGCAGCACAAAGAGAGTCCGCCTTCCTCCAACTTACCACTTCTATATTCTTAAAGCCGGTGAGCACCAGGTTTTTCAGCAGCTCGCAGCCGATGCCTCCCGCGCCGACCACCAGCACCCGGCAGGAGAACAGGGAGTCGGCGAGCTCTTTGCGGAGAGGTCCCACCAGTTGTGCCATTGTCGGCTCGGCGTTTCGGCGGCGCGGACAAGCAGCGGTTTGAGCCTGCGGGAAGGTGCGCATGCGCAGAGAATGAGCGCGCTGTGAAAGAAAGCGCGGCTGGTTTAACTGGCGACCTCTGTTGGTGCGGAGTTAGAGAATAAAGAGAAAGGAGACACAAATATTTACATAATTAAATCGGGGTAACTCTTTGCAATGAGGTCCAATTTGTTAACATTTGTGGTAACACTATTTTAGGGTCTCTTAACTAGTTGCATATTACATGCATATTACTAGAATATTAGCCATTTATTAGTACTAATTAAGCACATATTAATGCCTTATTCTACATTACCTTATTCTACATCCCTAATCCTACCCAATACCTAAACTTAACAACTACCTTACTAACTATTAATAAGTAGCAAATTAGGAATTTATCGAGGAAAAGTCGTAGTTAATAGTGAACAAGTGTTCCCCATTCTAAAGAGTTACCACATTTGTAAATGCATTAGCTAACATGATCTACAATGATATATATGGCCTATATATTTTTAAAGCAATTATTTATCATTGTCAATGTTAGTTAGTAAAAATAATATTGTTCATTGTTTATTCGTGTTAGTGAATTAATGTTAACAAATTAATGTTGACATATATAACAATTTTGGTTTAAAAAAATGTAATTTACTAAATGTTGGAATTTACAGTGACTAATAATAATAAATGTTTTAAAAGTATTGTTCATTGTTAGTTCATGTTAACCAATAACTAATGTTAACAAATAAAACCTTTTTGTAAAGGGTTACCGTCTTTAGTTACCACTTAATAGGCTATTACTTTTGCAAAAAACAAACTATATATAGTTATTATTTGTTTATTTTTATTCGAGTTCAGTCTGTTGTTATTTAATATAGAGTATTTTCATCTATTTAAATAATAAATACATGACTTCAGCCACCGAAAGTAATGCAATATTAAAAATAGGCTATATAACATGTTTTAAAAACGTGTATTTTTAATATTGCATTACTTTCGGTGGCTGAAGTCATGTATTACATGAAAATACTCTACATTAAATAGCAACAGACGGAAATCGAATAAAAATAAACAAATAATATAATGATTAAATGTTGATTCAATGATTTAGCATTTTACAAAAACACAAAAAAAGCTTCATGCAAACGTGTATATACAGCCCACGACTCTCATTTTCATTGCAGGTTATTATAATTGAGGTAGGTGATAATGGGGCCTGATTCATCCAGCACAAAGAGAGTTTGCCTTCCTCCAACAGTATTTTTTCAGTAATTAAAAAAAAAACGAATTAAATAAATTCAGTAATTAAAATGAAAGCTTTACTTTTGAAAAAAAAAATCTGTATTTTCGATATTGCTTTATTTGTAATGGATTCATTAATTAATTAATTAATTTGTTTGTTTATTTAGATGAAATTATACAATAGAAACAGAATGAAAATTAATAACCTATATTAATGAAGCAATGAATGAATATTTGTACATTTATGTGTGTATGTGTGTGTGTGTGTATACAGTATATAGATATATATATTGTAGCTATACAAGTATTCACACACACACACATGCATATACATACATTCATATATAGCCTACATCCAAAAATGCTGTGTAATAAATTACATTTTCACTCTGTACACTGAATTGCACTCTGAGACCAAAATTGCTGTGCACTAAATATAGCCCCGGCAGAAGAGTTGTGAAGTGTAGGTGACAGTTTCAGAGGAGTGTTTTTCGTAGATTGCGTAGAACCC